GAATAGAATAGAATAGAATAGAATAGAATAGAATAGAATAGAATAGAGCCAGAAGGGACCTTGGAGGTTGTCTAGTCCAGCCCCCTGCTCAAGCAGGAGAACTTCTGGTTTCCTACATGTTCATATGCTGGATCTAGATCAATATTCTTGTTAATTGCTCCTTCGGTAGAATACCAGGCTTCAATAAATTCACATATGTGGCGGGTGTTGGTATGCCCAATGATTTTTGTTCCTTCCCAATTGAACTGGTATTGTTTATTATCAATGTGATTTGTGATCAGCGATTTTTGGTTGTGCCTTTTAACTGCTAGTTGGTGTTCATGAACCCTTGTTTTCAGTTGCCTTCCTGTTTGTCCCATATAGAATTGGTTACAATTGTTGCAATTGATTTTGTCTACTACAAAATTGTCTTCCTTCTGTATTTTGTCTTTGATTTAGATAGCTCTTTTCTGAGTGTAAATGTGGGTTTGTGAGCTATCGTTCTTCCTAGGGGTTGCACTATTCTGGCAGCCTTCGGATGTTCCTTTGATGTACACTTCTCCCTTCCCTTTACTTTCTGGACAACTAGGAAGTGTTTTTTGTGAAATGCTTTCTCCACTTCTATTCCTGCTATGGGTTGAGATATCTCTTATCCAACTATTGTCCTGGCTGTGGTATTTGTTTACCAAGCTCTCTCGAATATTGTTCCATATTTTAGGCAAATCCTTAAAGTCATTCAGAAATCCCAATGAACCAACTATACTTATTTATCTATTTTGTAAATGCAGAAATGTTATGATTATATATTTGTGCCACTGATTTCTTCCAGGTAAACTATATATCTAATAGGAGTCTCAAACTTGGTGCCCGTCAGATGTATCGGATTACTTTTATAATGATCCCATTTGTCATGCTGAGTGGAAATGTTGACCCTCATAATTCCAACTTCTAGACATGATCAATTGCCTTAGAAAGGGTGAAAAACAATAACCAGCTTGCCTGCCCATCTCTAAGAATTAGGAGGGCAACCAGAAATAAATATTTATAGCAGTTGCAGTTTTCTTAAATTTCACTAGATGGCTTCAGATCCCAGGGGAAAGCCTTTGAGTAAAAAACGGGCTTTCCTTTCACATGTTCAGTTCCATCAGATGTTACTGAACTCCAAGTTCAAAAATTGCTAGAATGGCCAGTGTTGAGAAATGTAACATCTGGAGGGTTCCCACGTTGCCCAGATATTGAAAGGAATGTATATATATATATAAAAAACAATTGCATCAGATATCTCAGTATCAAAGGGAAGTTCTATTTTTTTCTTTCAGTCCTCCTGTGTAAAAAAAACCCCTAAATAAATAGTATCAGAATAAAGACTGACATTTATCAAAGGATCTTTCTATTCCTTGCTACCTTTTTTAAACTGAAAAGGGATTGCTTATTTAGTTAACTGATCAATCTCAGCAGCTGTTCTAGGTGTATAATTATGAATGAAACAATTGCTAAAACACAGCAAGGAAGCAAGCTACACACCATAAAACATAGATCAATAGACAGGGTCACAAACCACTCTGACTCAAGGCCTGCTGAAACAGGCCTTTCTAAAAACACAACAGGATTGGGGCCACATAGATGAAGTGGGAATGCTTTTCCAGAGAATACTGTAGTTCAGAGGTCCTCAATCTTTTGGGCACCAGGGACTGGTTCCGTGGAGAGAGGTTGGACTGGAGGAGGCGTGGTTTTGTGTGCTGCCTCCATCTCGCAGATGGGGCTTTGCTTGTTTGGGTGGACCAGTTGCTGGCATGCTGTGGCCCAGTACTGGTCCACGGCCCGGGGGTTGGGGACCCCTTCTGTAGTTGCATCGATCACAGAAGAGGCTTATCTCTGAAGTCTCACAAGTTGATACAGCTTCCGTGGCTGGACTTAGTGTCCTAATCCTGCAATAACTTACCTGGTGGGGAGAAACAGCTGGAATAGGGCACTTCCATAAGTAGCTGGCACTAAGCCACGAAGAGCTTAATAGCCAACATCTTGATT